GGGGGGGGGGGGGGCACCATTGGAGGGGTGACATCATAATGACTGACAGTGATTTTGGTGTCACCCCCTCTAAAAAGTAGGTGCACTCGGTCATAAACCGAGAGCCCGACAGTGTCAGGAGAGAGGAGGGGACCCAGCAGCATAGCTCATCCCACCGGGTGAACGTCCCCTCCTCTCTCTGCCGGCGTCCATCAACAAGATGGCTGCCGGCAGGCTTCAATTAGATGGCCGCGCATATGCGATAACGTCACGGCGGGGTGTCACCCGATCTCCGCTCCCGTTGACACCCGGCCTCGAGATGCCCCTGTAAATAGCGTCACCCATTCATATGTAAATATCACAGTGGAGACTATTTTTTGTGGGGGGCCAGTAGCCCCTATCTTAATTTTGGTTGCCCCTGTCTGTCTGGCATCTTGTGTCCTGGTTTCTGCTGCCATGAAACCCGGACACAGCATTCATAACCCGGACTGTCCAGGTGAATCCTGGACAGGTGGCAACCCTATTCCTGCCCCTGTGACACCCATACAAGAAATGGGGGAGTGGTGATCTCCATTGAGGAGATTCCCCTCACTTCCTGTCCCTGTGACACCCATACAAGAAATGGGGGAGTGATGACCACCAGCACAGGAAGATACAAACTGCAATAAAACATTGTCAGATGTTCTAACCCTAAACAAAATGTTAATCCTAAAATTGCGAAGCTGACAGAGCTTCTAACCCTATCCCTTTCTGTACGCAATTAAAACATGTCTTCTTGGAGTTGGGTCTAAATAATGAAAAAGGAAATCTGCCGTGGAGAATATGGAAGTTGTTATGGCACGATTGGTCGGTCCTCAAAGCCTGAGAACCCTGAGCGTGTCACTGACAATGATGGACCGTAGCCAAGTACTGTATATGTAGTCTCAGGGCAGCCGTAGCTCCTTCATTTGCAGTGTGAACATGACTTTATATTCCCCATTGCCTGACATCAGATGATGGAGTCAGTATGTGATGTGCGGAGACTGAACAAGGTCTATGGGGGGAATCAGCTCATCCTTATAGACAATCTGGATTTCTTCTGTCCAGTAACAATAAATCATTCAGGTGTCTGCACTGTCTAGTTGTCATCACTATGCATCAGATGGGAGATAAAACATCACCGAGTCAGGATTTCAGCTGTGAGATCTGACAGCAGGCCTCCATATGAGTATTATAGCCGTCTGCGAAGCGCGTGAGTTTTAAAGTATCCAGAAAAACATTTCTTTACAGTGGTAGAGCTCTTCAGATCTGTAAATATGGCCAGCTACGTCTCAACTCCAGACACACAGCTAAAAAAAGAGTTTGGCCAGTCTTGTGATCCAGGCCCCCCTGCTTGACAGCACAGTTAGGCTAGGTTCAGACCTAGGCAATTGAGAGGGGGAGCTGTTTTCGTGCAGTTGTCATGCGTTTTTGTTTGCGCCATTTTTCTTTGAATGCCACGCATGATTTTCAATGCATAGAGATGTCTATGGGACCCAAACCGTGCAAGGAAACGCCCGAAAATAGCTCCTGCACCTTTTTGCGCGACAGGCGATTTCTACCGCGCAACAAATCGCAAAGGTGTGAACAGCTTCCATGGACTTGAATGGAAATCTCTGTTTTGTGCGATATCGCGAGGCTAAATCCGTGTGATAAATTGCCTAGGTGTGAACCGAGCCTTAGATGGATGACCTCACTTTTCTCCTCTGCAGTTAAGCAACACTGCTTGGTAACCAATTTGCCTCCAGTCTAGTGACTGGACAATGAAGGAGCATCAGTGCAATGGGGAGGTCATCACTCTGCTCTCTGCTGTCAGTAACCTGCCACTGTTCAAGTGACCGCACAGTGCTTGGTGGTGGAGCCGGTTTGGTGTGCACTACTGGTCCTTCCTCAGTACAGGAAGATAATATAAACAACAGATGTCAGTACTTATACTGTCTGTATTTAAAATGCAGTTTAGAATTTTATAGTAAATATGTCATTAGTAGCATGGTGGTTTGTTTTTTTTAATCCCCTTGCAGTTTAGATTTAGCCATTTTGTCTCACTTTCTGAAACTGGGAAGATTGCCAATAAGCTGATTAGCTGATTTTACAGGGCGAGCTGCCTGCGCCTTCTGATAAATCTTTGAATCTGACACTTGAATTCAAAATAATCCCCCACAATGCATTGCTTCAGTAACCAAGAGTGCAAACCGTCTGCGCCAGTTAACACAAATCTAGTAATATAAGTGACAGATTGTGTATAAGTGCATGTATATGAGTGTATGAGGGTGTACATGTGTGTATAAGTGCATGTATGTGAGTGTGTATATGAGTGTGTGTATGTGCATGTATATGAGTGTACGAGTGTGTATGTGGGTGTACATGTGTGTATAAGTGCATGTATATGAGTGTATGAGGGTGTACATGTGTGTATAAGTGCATGTATATGAGTGTGTATGTGGGTATATATGTGTGTATAAGTGTATGTATATGTGTGTATAAGTGTATGTATACTGTATGTGTGTGAGTGTGGGTGTACATGTGTGTATAAGTGTATGTATATGTGTGTGTGGGTATACATGTGTGTATAAGTGTATGTATATGTGTGTGTGTGTGTGTGTGGGTATATACATCTGTGTATACGTGTATGTGTGTGAATGTGGGTGTATATATGTGTTTATATGTGTGTGTTTCCCATATAAGCAGTAAGGTTAATCTGACATTTGCTTCCCTGATTCCATTGACACATTTGTAAATAAGGGAGATTGTGTTTGCCCCTGAAACATGTTGGCTATAGTATAATCATTGTCTTCCACCATTAGTCTGGTGTTTGTGATGTTTTAAGTCACTTTCCGGGTACCCATTGAAGAGGAGTCTTGATCCACATGAGCAGCCTTCCCACAGCAAATTTTCTCTCATCAACTGATTTTGGTCTTTCCATGTTCTGGAATAAATAATCTTTGAAGTCTCAGCACTCCTTTCCATATATCTTTTTAGAGTATTACTTGACGTAATGTCATCGGAAGGGATATTTATCATGTTCATTTGTCTTGGCAGATGGCCGAAGGCCGGCATTGCAAGGTGCACCTCCTGGATGACCGCATCGCTGACTCGCCGCTGCTCTCCCACACCGAAGGTAAGTGGGAAAGAAAAAAAAACATAGCGCAACCATCGGGGCATTTTGGCAAGTACATTACTTGTCAAAATGCCCTGTTTTTTCCGCCCTCACCCGGCAGCGCCCTCAGGCGGCCGCCTGATTTGCCTTGCGGTAGCGCCGGGCCTGGTGTGTCTGATAGTCATACCTCCCAATTGTCCTTCATTTAAAGGGACTGTCCCTCTTTTGCAACCAAATCCCTCTGTCCTCAGCTGTCCTTTTTATGGGCTGATATAAAGATTAATATAAAATGTATAATGTAATATCCAAAGTGTTTTACTGCAATAAAGCTTTTATCTCACCTTTAAATCCTATATTTATATTCCATTTGTTATTATGTAAAGCAAAGTAATTTTGGGTTAAACGGATAATTTTTGTGCAATAATCCTAATTTAAAGTCCGTATTACTAGATGTGTGTCATTTGCCTACGGACATTGTGCTGTAATGTGTCCTCTTTCTCATCTCACTAAGTTTGAGTTATGCTCTTATAGCTGTGGGGATAGATGCTGCAAGGCCCCTACTGTAGTATCTCTGTGAATGTGATGATGTCTCACCATATCTTCACCAGGATTGCAGGAGCGGGCACAGTTCTGGCATCAGTGTCTAGGGAAGAAGAGACAAATAGAAATTATAGTGTAAGGGCACAATGGTGACAAATTACCTTCAGCTTTGTACTTTATTAGAAATATTTATTTATTTATGTTATTGATTTTATTAATAATCATTCATGATTTCAAACGTATTTTCTTTGTATAGTATACAGTATAACTGGAAATGTAGACAGAGACAGACATGTTTCCTTGTTACATTTGCAGGATTAAAAAAACTATGTTTTACTGCAAATTATTCCTTCCCGTAGTGAAAATCAGGAATTATTTTGCGGTACTCCCACAACCTCATCCCCCCCTCCAGTGAAATGTAGAGGGATTAAGAGTTTTTGGAAGACGGTCCCTTTTATCTACAATGTCTGCAATGTCCCTAATGGAATACCCTCACCCACTGGCAAAATACAGGCTGATACATTGGTGATACATTGGTGATACATTGGTGATAAATTGATGATACATTGGTGATACATTGGTGATACATTGGTGATACATTGATGATACATTGATGATACATTGGTGATACATTGATGATACATTGATGATACATTGGTGATACATTGATGATACATTGGTGATACATTGGTGATACATTGATGATACGTTGGTGATACATTGATGATACATTGGTGATACATTGATGATACATTGGTGATACATTGATACTATAATTTTCATAGATGTAACTATTGTATATATTTCTTGTCACAGCCAAAACTCCTCTCACATGAATTGTTGGATCTTGTCGCTTCCCACTTCAATCTGAAAGAGAAGGAGTATTTTGGGATCTCATTTCTGGATGACACGTAAGTCGTTTTCTATAACACCACCATATCTATGTGCTCTGCAGTTCCAGTACAAAGATCCAGGAGAGGAAGACTCCTGCTGTCCTCACTATTACATTGGCTGGCCTTAGACCTGCAAAATGTTGAGCCAGGAATGAGCTTGTGGTAGGAAATCTGCCATGCCCTGTGTTGATTGGAAGCTGCGGCAAGCTTAGTTTGCACCTTACCCGATATGTGGAAGTGGCACGTGTGGTTAAGTACTTTACTCCTTTTCATGATAAGAAAAGTCAGAGTTTGGCCTTGTTGTTTAGATTTTTTTCCACCAAGTTGAAAAATCTCTGAGCTAATGATGATCCTAAAGCTGGCCACACACCTATAGATTATCTGCAGATTTTCTATGGTCAGATGGAAAAGGTGCAACAGATTCCTTCCTCTACGTTAAACTTTGTGGATTAAGGAGTCTCCAACTGGCCAAGCTTCAGTATCTTGCTAGTCGGCGCCGCTGGCTCTCAAAATACCTGAATAATGCCTGCATCCAATCAGATTGTTCAGGTATTGTGACAGCCGGCGGGGCCGACTAGCAAGATACTGAAGCTTGGCCAGTTGGAGACTCCTTAATCCACAAAGTTTAACGTAGAGGAAGGAATCTGTTGCACCTTTTCCATCTGACCATAGAAAATCTGCAGATAATCTATAGGTGTATGCAGGGCCCGATTTCCCACAAGGCCAACTGGGGCCCGTCCTAGGGGCAGCAAGCAGTAGAGGTAACAAAAGATGATTTTCTCTTGGAGATCCGGACTCTAAAAACAATGACCAGTGGGGAAGCCGCCGGTTGTTTTGTACAAGTGATCTCGGCGATGTCACCGAGATTACTTGTATGCAGCCTGCATACAGGGAGGCGCATTGAGGAGCCTGGCCTTGGGGCAGCAGAGAGAGTAAATCCGGCCCTGGGTGTATGGCCAGCTTAAGTAATCAACCCCTGAGATAATGCTACACAGCTCCTACAGGCTAATCATCTCATTCAAATAATGTATGGCCACCTTCTATTTGTTAGAGTCTGCCCTCTGATTTCTCCATTCCAGGTGCTAAAAATGTGCTGGAGTGTAGCACTTGAAGAGATTAGCAGTTGGAAGGAACGATTGGTTTTGGATGTATAATTACTAGATTTTAGTACTGCCAAAGTTTAAAAGTTTGTTGTGATGATCGTTACATTCACACTCCAGTCAAAATGACAAAGGAATGAAACTGTGAGTTGAATATTGGACGCACAGCCTACCAATGCTGAATAGTTTAGTGTTTAATTCAGACATTGATGCACTGCTTCAGTCCTCATCTCCCTTGTGTTAGTAATCTGGTGGTTCTGGAAAACACCAATAGCTGATCCTTAAACACTCCTGGTGATCCTGGAACACACCTCCTGGTGATCCCAGAATGCATCTTCTTGTGATCCAGGAACACTTTTACTGGTGATGGAATACACTGCTAGCTGCCTCTCAAATACAGAAAGCTTGATATAAAAATGGCAGTAAAAGTTAATAAAAAGAAAGAGAGAGAGAGAGTTACATAGTATTTGGGGTTGAATAAAGACATAAGTCCATCAAGTCCAACCCATATAGGTCCACGCATCATTTCATTCTTAGAAATACTTGTACCCCTGGATATTACAGTCCCTCAGGAAATCGTCCAAACGTTTCTTGAACAAATCCACACTCTTAGCTGAAATTACTGCCGGTGGCAGTGAGTTCCAGACCCTAACCGCTCTTACTGCGGTTAGGGTCTGGAGTACTGCGAGAGCTCTAATTGAAATTTCTGACGTGATAATATACAGTTTTGTTCCACAAAACTCCACCTTTTTTCACTAAAAAGCCAAGCAAAGAAATGTGTTCAGACTAAAATGATGTCATCAATCTTCTGCATGCAGGCATGAGGGGGCATTTCCTCAGTCGCATCTCTCCCCAGTGATCAGACTGGAACATTGTAACTTTGCAGCAGGTTGCAAGGTGAGAGGCTGCAGCAGGGGCACCAGGATTTACATGGTTGTGTCACCTCTTTGCTGGCATCTCAGTCCAGGTTCTGTAAGAACTTATCCACTGTAGCCATTTAATTTTATCAGGGGGTGCTGTACAGATACTTTCCTGGGGAAGGGTTAAGCCCCCATTGCACTAGATGCTTCCTATAATGAAGCAAGGTCTTAGACCAGGGCTAGCCAAACTCTGGCCCTCCAGCTTTGGTGGAACTACAAATCCCATGAGGCATTGCAAGAGTCTCACAGCCACAGACATGACTCCCGGAGAGAGATGCATCATGGGATTTGTAGTTTCACCCCAGCTGGAGGGCCGGAGTTTGGCTGCCCCTGTCTTAGACGGAGTGGCTGCGCCAGGCATAATACTAACATATGCTTTATTTCCTCGCCCTGTCTGATTGGAATTCATTAAACTTATTTGGGATAATTAGGCTGTAAGTGCTGGCTAAGTGTTGGGCCGCGCAGAATGACCCATTTCATTTCACTGGCTATTACTGAACAAGATGAGCTCTTGAGCGGAGGCGACGAATTCCCTCATCTGTGACCCCACTCTTAGACCTCGAAAATTAATAACCGTTTTCTGCAATAATTGGATTCTGTGCTCGCTTCTCATTCTGTCTTCCAGGCTGTCTGTGGCTGTGCAGCTGCTGAGTCCCGCCACGACCCTGCTGGTCTGATTAGCAGAATGTGATAATGACTAGACATGTAAGCTGGGGAATTCAATTCGGTTCGGGTTTCGGATTCAGATGAAATCCGAATTGTCGTTAGTTCCGGATGAGTTTACGAATATTCGTTACGACTACCACAGAAAACCAGATACAGATATTAATACTAAAGCTGAGGCTCCCGGACCCGAATGGCATTCGGGATCCGAATTTCCGATTTGCATTTGGGAGCTCCTGATTGCCATTCGGGTCTGGGAGCCTCAGCTTTAGTATGATATGTACCCTGCTTCCCTGAAAATAAGACCTACCCCGAAAGTAAGACCTAGCACTATTTTTCAAGATTCCTGTAATATAAGACCTACCCCGAAAATAAGACCTAGTTTGGTGGTAGCATGTGAGGGGGAACGTGAAGAGCAGGAGAGATGGTGTCAGCCTGCAGGGACATACTGTATTAAGGGGATGACGGGGGACTTCCTCCGGCCAGCGCAGTGACAGGGAGCACTCCAGTACCATACTTGCCCAACTACTGTCCCCCTGAAGGCACTGCTTAATGTAATGGTACTGTAGTGTACTGTATTGTGTACCGGTAAATGGTACCGTACTTTACTGCGCTGTCCACTGTCTGATGTCCCCACCGCTGCACCGCTGATAGCACTGTCCCTGGTGGCAAAGCATGCCAGCGCTGTAGAAAGCAAGGCTGCGGCGGCGGAGGGAGCAGTGCCGCATTAGCAGATACTTCCTCGCCGGTATAGCGCCGGTTACTGTGACAGGCGGAGTGATACCAGATAACGTTTGGATTGTTGTACATTTTGTTGCACAGTAAAAAAAAAAAAAATAAGACATCCCCTGAAAATAAGACCTAGTGTGTTTTTTGGGGGCAAAAAAATATAAGACAGTGTCTTATTTTCGGGGTAACGGTATATACTGTATATGGCGCCCATGTTGCCGTAACAAAAATTGATGTTCAGACCCATTCGAATGCATTAATCCGAAAAACACATCTGATTGGCCAGAAAAGTCACATGTCCCATTCAGTTTCTTTTTTGAACGAAATTCAGACGGGATCCGAAATTCGGAAACAGAAATTCAGATTCGGACACATTGGGATTCGGAAATTCGTATGTGTCCGAATGTCTATCTAACATCTAATTGACGCCTGCCGGTGGCCATCTTAGTGATGGACGCCAGCAGAGAGAGGAGGGGATGTTCACCCGGGGGAATGAGATATGCTGCCGGGTCCCCTCCTCTCTCCTGATACTGTCGCGCTCTTGGTCCATGACCGAGTGCCCGACCTTTTAGAGGGGGTGACACCAAAATGACTGTCAGTCATTTTGATATCACACCTCCAATGGTGTCACCCGGGTGCGGGCCACACCCCCCGCACCCCCTTGTGACACCACTGACTCCAGGCAGATATAAAAGACTCACATTGATGCAGCTAGGTATTAATTGATCAATAATTCAATGTATTTCTTGAAATCAAACTACAAATGACTTTGTATCAGCCTTGGGAACCTCCCATGCACTAAGACTGGGGGAGGGAGGGGCAGCACTGGAGCTAGTCAGGTTTACTGCATGCAAATGTGCTGATAGGAAGAGAGAACAGAGTGAGCAGAGGGATGAGCTAATTAGTCTACTGCTGCTATTTCACTGTCCAATCAGCAGGCTGGTAAAGTAGAAAGGACACCCGGATTAAATCCGAATGGCAAACCGACATTTAATTACAAAGGAAGCACATAGTTAATGAGAATCGAATTTAATTTCTGGGGAAATTATTCATCGTAGCCCGCCATAGAGCGTTCGTATGTTCCCAGAACGGCCACGAACAAACGGCTTACATGAAACGCACCCACATGGTATTAATATTTAAGGAGTCTGACATTCTCTTCTCTTGGAATAGAACCGGCTAAGATGAATCAATTAGCAGCGGTTTATATGTAAAGCGAGGCTGCTATAATTACTTCTTTGAATAATTTAGGAGAAATTAATAAGGGCCGGGTGTCTGGCTCTGGGGGTATTGTACCGCCAGGCTATTCATACACCGTGCCAGCAATTTGCTGCTATTGATAGCGGCTCTGGAAAAAAAAAATGAGGGTAAACTGACTTACGCCATGATGTTTAATCTTTGCTGCACAGTACGCGGCGATATTGTTTAGGGAAAATTTTTTAATCTTGATAAAACAAGAGTCTACGTGATTTTCAGCTCTCGAGGGGCAATTTGTGAATGCAGCTCGTACTTTACTGAGCGGTATTCCAGAAGTCAAATGGTCGGTACGTGAGGTTGTCAGAGGGAGCATGGCGAGCCCTTGAGCCTTAAAGTGGAACTCCAGGAATGATCTCTTATGGGTACTTACATTCATCCAGCTTGGCACAATGTAAGTATCCATATCTGACATCCTGAGGGCCGCTGGGGATGCTGATAATCATTGTAGTAGTCCGCGTTGCATATAGTGATAGCCATGATCTTCCAGCTGCGGCTCTATTGACATCTCTTTCGGCACAGAGAGTTGCTTTGAGCTCCCCCACCATTCTGAGAATAAATTGCATTTTTTTAAATAAATACAAGGGTTCTCTGGTTGGACGAGGTGGTGACATCATCCTCTCCTCCTAGTCCAATCAGAGAATGCCTTGTATTCATTGGAAAAAAGGCGTTCTGTGAATGGCGACAGTGCTCAAAGCAACTTCCTGTGCCCAAAGTGCAGAGGGGAAGCCAAAGGAGCCCCAGCTGGAAGAGACCACCTATCACTTTATGCTCAAAGCTACTTCCTGTGCCTAAAGTGCAGAGGGGAAGCCAATGGAGCCCCAGCTGGAAGAGACCACCTATCACTGTATGCTCAAAGCAACTTCCTATCCCCAAAGTGCAGAGAGGAAGCCAATGGAGCCCCAGCAGGAAGAGACCACCTATCACTGTATGCAATGCAGACTACTAAAGTTATTTTCAGCATCCCTAGTGGCCCTCCAGATACCAAATAAGGATAGATCGAGCCAAGCTGGCCCAATGTAGGTTCCCATAAAGGATCATTCCTAGAATTACACTTTAATGTGAACTTGAACTCAAACAGTGAAGATTTGTTGTTGTATAGGGAATATCTAGAAATGTTCATTATGTCTAAGAAACACAGTTTTTCTTGAATTCCTCATGAAAAATAGCCATTCACTTCCTTTGCCTTGAGCCTCATAGATGTATATCTGCAGTATGAGAGCTTCTAAGGCCCTGGGAGCCAATCTGTGGCCTAGGATGGGTGCAGGTTGACGTGCCCCTACATTACTAAAGCTCTGACAGGAGGAAGCAAAGCCTTGCTCCTCTACCAAGTTGGCCACCTCCACTAGAGACATCATGGAGCTCTATGCATGGTGAGCCAGTAATGGGGAAATGATCAACTGCAGTGAACCTACATGCAATCCTGCACTCTTCCTTGCTTGCCCAGCTTCCACTGTACCGACCTTTTAAAAGTGATTCTGTTTCCAACAAACTTTGGGGATACCCACTTCTGTCATGTCCCTATGTTACTACAAGGCACACCAGTGACATGGGGGTCAGCCTGAGAAAACACAGACTGAGACAAAGGACTGAAGTTTGCACCGTCGTGCACAAGACAGCAATGATGTGATGTTTCCAATATTTCTATATTGACAGGGTTCCTTTAAAACAACCCTGGCACGGTACATAAAACATATGTATCCCAGGAGAACTAAAAATCAGGGGGCTTGCATATGCAGTTACAAGTGCTAATGAACCTCAATTGAGCTCTGGCCTTGCCTATGATGGAGAGGAGTCCATGTTGGATTGTGGGGCGCCATGGTCTCAGTATGCACTCCAGACTGACACTTAAGCCAAGGACTGTGAGTAGTTTGTGGTGAACACAATTATCATTACTGAATTTTGAATGTGTTTTATTTTCTCCCACAGAGGGCAATACTCCTGGCTACAGATGGAACAGAGAGTGCTTGACCATGACTTGCCAAAGAAACCGGGTGCGGTAACGCTTTACTTTGTGGTAAGGTACGTCATCTCTCATCTCCTGTTTCTACGGATGCATCTTCATACCGGGTTGATTAATTGGTTAATACATATATATATATATTTATATTGAACTCCAGGCAGATGTAAAATACACATATTGCAGTCAAGGATGTTGTCCTTGATTAATCACACAATTGTGCAGCAGCACAGTTCACAGATTGATTTTGGTTCTATTTGTTTCTCCATTGATCACAATTCAAGTCACTGAGCTAGTCACAGGCGGTTTTTCATGAGTGGCAGGGGAGGAAAGTAAAGGTGAGTATACACTGCTCGTAGAGCAGACCCTGCATAGTCAAAGTACAAGTTTGCTTTTAAAAGAGAACTATCGGGTAAGTGTTTTTCCCCATAGTTCTCTCAAGGGTCACGGGAGGACATATACTAGCGTCCTCCCGTGACCCAAAGCTCAGTATATAGTGAGCTATAGCTCGCGGTATACTGAGACGGCCGCAGCTTGGACGGATCCGGACATTACTGTCGGGATCCACCCAGCTGCGTGATTGACAGCGAGCTCTGCCTATCGAGAGGCAGAGCCAGCTGTACCCGCCCCCTCCCACTCCGTTCCGCCAGTCACTGCTGGAGGATCGGGGAGGGGGGTATCCCTGTAGGGAGCCGTGTGTCAGTCACGGCTCTCTGCAGGGAGATGATCGGGAAGTGAGCGAGTGACGGTATGTGTTTGCTCACTTCCCGATCTTTCGAGCCGCCGTGTGACAGCTTCATTGTCACACGGCGGCTCGAACTTTGAGGATGAGTGGAAATCACTCACCTCATAGTTCTCCTTTAAGTAAGGCAGCCATAAGGGAAATATGCGGGCTGCTACTGTGCACCTTCTTCTGATAACACAGATTCAGCATGACAGCCAGGCAACCAGCATTTTCAGAGTGAGAGGTCATCATTTAAAGCCAACATGTTAACTATGTGAAAGGTTTCTTGTAACGTGTATGTGGTGCAAAAAAAACAGTTTTTTAAAAAACTTTTACATAGAGTACAGAATGATTACGACCCCAGTTTTTTTTAATGTTGTCTATATCATATGGTGGAGATTTCCCCTCACTCCTTGTCCCAAAGACAAAGCAGGAAGTAAGAGGAGAACTTTCCGAAGTAAGGGAAAATCCCCTCTTAGACAGTTTTTTTCCCCAGAACAGGTTTCCCCATTGCAAAATTTCCTCTCACTTCCTGTTCCTGTAACAACTCAAAAATTGTGGTTTTCCCATTACTATACCCGAGACTGTTGACACAGGACTGAAGGGTGAATCTCCCCAGAGACTTGAGAAACTTAGGGATTCTAATGCTTTCCACATTCCATCCCAATTTGTTTTCCTTTAAAGTGTTGGAGAAAGTACATTTGGGGGTTATTCACGACGGAGCCGAAGGAAGTAGCTTTGGCTGATTGTTTGGCTCGCTTCGGCCGCCTGAGCCCTTCGGTTCAGTCAAACCGAAGGGCTGCTGTACGGGCTTTTCACTATAGCCCATAGAGCAGCCGAAGGCAGCCGAGCAGCTCAGCCGAGTTGAACCCATATGCTTCGGCTGAGTCGTATTCACAGCCGGAGCGTGGAGAATGGTCGGCCGAAGCCAACCAATCGCCATGCAAATGACAGTTGGGCGGAGCCAGCCGTGATCTCACGGCTGGCTCCGCCCAGTTGTAATGACAGATCAGTATCCTCAAATGACCTGAGGACACTGATCTGTCATTAAACAATAACAACTGGGCG